ACTAGCGACAGTCGGACGTCTCTGCGTCTCGGTCCTACCCTTGTCCTGCGGGTGTCTTACGCAGCCTCGCGCGCCCTGTGCCGACCACTAATAGGATTCGGTCGTCCTCTGACATAGCTTGCCATGTCCCAACCGTACAACGGGCCGGATCAGATGTTCGTATCGGATTCGGCTCATTTCTCCACTCGGCCGAGTCGCCTCTTCTCGCCATCTGCTTGGGGATCGGTGTTTGTAGCTTAACAGCAGAACAGCTGGCTGATAGGGGGCCAAAGCCCTCCCACGCCGCCACTGATGCTGCTCTTTTTGCGTCTAGCCACTCACAAAACAAGGATAAGGAACATCATCTTTGTCTGCCTCGTGCTGTGGATTCTCGTCAAACAGAGGATGCCGAACTAGCAGGTCAAGTTTTAGAGAAAGACATAGCCGACCACAAAGTTTATCGTTGTGAAATATACTTCTGACCTCTTTCAGTCTTGTTACGATATCGATGCCATGCTATTTGGCGTTCATGTTAACGATAATGTTAGATTCAATATGTACTGACAGCGGATATGTGTGACTGACACAAGTTGTAATATATTATTTGACTTGTCAGTAAATGCTAAGAAAGTTCCTTCCTGGACTATTGATTGCTTGAAGAATTATTGTTGGCAGGGTAAAGGGAAAGAACATGTAAAGGCCATCCAGATATTTTTCAAATAGTCAGCACTTTAATGTTTTCCTAGATACAGCGGCTAGATAATAATTTTTGAACTACACATAATCAATGATTGAGAAAACTATTGCCGAGTTCCATAGTAATTAATTATGAATTAAGTTACTAAAAAGTTGCTAGATAAATCTATGCTTCGTCCAGCCAATTCAACATTGATTCTTTAACTACTTACAAGATAAACTACAATTCACCCCACATTTGCGGTTTAAATGTAGAACCATAGAAACGGAGTCAATTTAGCTATTATTCGTTGTGGTCGGGCGAAATCTGTCAATTATACTTGTAGAAGCGCTTTACCTCTACGCTCGACATAAGTTTACTGGTTGTTTCCAAGATGGTGACTCTGTGTCAAGCTCATTGCTACCCAGCACTGTCGTTCATCTTGCTTTATTCGTGGTTAATTTTTACTGCAGTGCAAATAGCGACGCTGGTTTGTTTCAGGGGGCCGATACGTGGTCCAGCTATTTCTCAGCGTATCTGATAGATAGCTATTACTATATTCGCTACTTTGTCGATTTTTAGGTAGTACAACATGGATTAGATGTTCATAGTCGATATCGTTATCAGTGTCTGTTTGCTATCAGAGCAAAAATAACACCGAAAAAAGTGAAAGCCTGGGAGATATGCTGTCTTGGTCTAAACAGCGGAGCTGTGGTCCAACTCTTGGCGGACTTCCCGAACGTCGCGTCATAAATCACTACATTAGTTATTACTACTTCTGCTAAGTAATCGTCATGGCGGCGGCAACACGGCTTGCCCATATAAATACACACAATTTCAACTAGGACAACTCGCGATTTTGTCTATTACTGATCAATTCGAATCGCTTACGGTGTTGTGTATGCCCTTTGTAGTGGCGAACAGACCCCGAAGCGTCGGCCTGTTTGGCCTGGTCGTGTTACTCACCTTGTAGTAATAATTCATTCGACAACAGCCGCTGTTGCCGTCCTGAAGGAAAAGCGTAGAAACGTCACACGCAGAGAGCCACAAATACATACATACATCTATACGGTATTGCAAACAGCCAAGGTCGCCTCGAAAAGCGGTAAACGACCTGAAACGTACCACGACGTCTAAATAGCTATACCACTGACGACTAGTCAGTTACCTGCGATCTCAGATAAGGACCGATTTGAATATAGGGATAACAAGTGTATTCTTCACAAATGTGTTTGCCTTAACAGCGAAGGATGAAAAGGGAACAGATCTGACAAGCGCTATTGAGATAGTATAGAGATTTATGGCATCACCGTCTCAACTTAGCGAACAACGAATCGACAACTTTGGCCGCCAGGAAGGAGGAAAGAGGTTGGTGAGAACCTACTGCTATGGGATGGCCTACAAACGGCCATGAACTAAAATAACACATTAGTGACAGGAGATGGGATTGTAGTATATATATATATTATCTCTAAAAATACATATACAGATCTATATTTTTAATCTAGTTATTTTGTTCCATTCTATCATTCAACTATATGTCTAGGATGACAATTTTGTGAGGCTCGACCTTGTGTTCCATAGTCTATTAGGGGTAAGGTTAGTCTATAGCTAAACTTACGACGGAGGTTCAACTCATAATGCAGAGCTTCCAGTATACACAGTCAACTTTCTAGTAACCCAATAGAATTACCCTTCGATATAAAGGGTAAAAGGTATCCTTTTTGAGTCACTGAAATAATCGATATCGTAAGGCTGGAGGCGATACAGCATGTTATTTTATAAAAGTCAACGGATAACATTTATGAAGAAATCTTAAATGAACTGGAACCGAAATCGATGTAATGTTCTTAGATGCCGAACGCTAGCCACTTCAACGCACTATTAGTATGTTTCGGGCGTTCCGTTGCTAGTTCTTGGTGGTACATAATTTGTCTGTGCCATAGACGAACATCTCACCATAGAGGACCAGCGAAATCGTCGATTGCATCCTTCGTGTTACCATTCACTAGTAGAGAGGGCGTCATTTTCCCGCTCCTTAATCTTTTTCTATCTTGTGTCATTCATGTTGCCTCTAAAGGGCCTAGAAGAGAACAAAGCTAAATACGTATTTGATGTCGCCACTTCCTTGGAACCGCAGCCAGCGTCATATTGAAGATGGGCCCCGATGGAGGTACCAGCAATTTCGAATTAACCCGCTATTACATCGATCAAGTCACTAACGATAACAGCAGCGCCATACACGGATTAGTATCAAAAATAGTACGACCCTGTTGAACGACGCCAAACGGGTACAATTGGAGCACATAAAAACGATAATTTCGTTTGTACAGTGATGATGTTAAATAGGCAATATATTTATTTGTGTCGTATGTTCATATGCTTAAGCGAACAGGAATGCCTTTGGTCGTTAAATCGGTAAACGTACCCATGCGATACTACCAGGAATCTTTCGATGTTGTATTACCAAAAAATTTGATTTAATTCTTAAAAATATCCACAACGACTTCGTGTAGCTTATTACGGCATCGATAGGCGTCATTTATGCATGCCTTCTTCTGCCTCGAGCGTTTACGATGATCTTCAATATAAATAATAATAATATTAATAGGAGTTAGGCGGGCCTAAGGCCGGACCAGTACGCGTAGTGCGTGGGGATACGGGGGGATTCGCAGAAGCAACGTATAATCGTCAGTGAAGGATAACTAATCACAAGTACTCTACTTGATCAACAGAGGATTTGCTATCGGTGGAAAATCCCACCTAGCAATTGACAGACCACAATCTTGTTTGATTGCTTTCCACATCAGCGTAATGGAAGCTGTACCGGAAGCGTACGTCGTAGCCACATATAGAACTATCTGTTAAGATATTTTTGATTTTTGTTTAACCGTGGTTTACCGTTATTGACACCGAAATGTTCGCTCAATCGCACATTAAAGCCGATCCGATAACTGGGATTTGCACTCAGTATGGGAACTAGCAATTTTTTGCCATACCTACAGCTATCTAATACTGTTTCCCCGTAGAAAAGTAAAAACACATATATCCGAAATCAAACTCCAATTAGCATACGCTATTGTACACGCATAGGTCTATAAGTGTGCACATGTAATAGAGCGGGGTTATATTGTAAATATAACTGATGCGTTTTTGATACGTCTCTATACGTGCGTCGTTTCTCTGAATTTTCTATCTGATTGAAGCTGTTCGTCTACGTTCATCAGAATCTACTTAGAATACTCTATTTGTAGGAAAGTCGTATGGTAACCAACATTGACCCTGTTTAATTTCACTTGTTCACACGGCCTAGGAGCAATCGGCTCTCGGAGAACATAATCAAGTTATGCGTACTTCATATGCCAGGGATAGTCACTTTATATGTATGTCTGCATCTGTCGATGTCTGCCGATCTCGGCAACACTGAAAAGCCACCCCGGCCAACCCCTCGCAATACGCTCCGTTCGAACAGTAATAACCAACAAACCATTGAACACGTGTAACACTACCTATATATTTATTATATGTGTCTAGCGTCAGACTACAATAAAGTTGGCGGAACATTAGTTGCCGTAGTCGAAAGTCATAGCAGTAAGTTGCTGGGGGTTCACGAGGGAATTTTGATCGCAGAACTGCACTACCGTGAATTGTGACGAGAGCGGAGGGCTTGATGGGCAAGGTAGCGAATGAATGAATGTCTGTATGTAGGTAGCAGACTTACTGTTTCAGAGCAAGGGAATTTGGGCGAGCGATGCCAATGAACCCCAGATATGGCAGCAAACTGAATATAGGTAAAATATCGCGAGATAAAATATTTCGGGATGAAGCATCTAAAGAATGACTTACATCAAAGAGGTCCTCGTATTGTTCACGCAGAACATTGTTAAAACGTGAAGATTTCAATAGAGGGAGATGTTAATGGCAAAAGAAACCAAAGTATCAGCTAAGAGAGAACTTCATCGAATACGGAAGGGCACGTCCCTGCATTTAAGTTGCAACCGACTACAAACAAAAATGATAGAATACGCATAGATAGTTTGTGAGATAATTCATTAAGCCTCTTGGCTATAACTGGTTTTCGTAATCTACTATACACATACGACCTGACACAGAATAACTTTTTGAACAGACATCTAACGTGCGCGCGACCTAAACAAACAAAATAAACAAGTTAATTTACGGTAATGCCTACTCTGCTGTAGACTATACTGCACAAACAGCAACACGTATTAACGCCTTAAAACCGATTTATAAACAACACCAGCGATATACAGCATGATCCTTGCGGTCACAAGTATCCCTTTAGGAAGGACAGTCTAATAAGTAGTTTTTTCCTATCTTGCAGAAAGTGCTTTACCACCTCCGACATCAGTGACCTCCGACGCCAATGGATTAACATCGACGGTTTTTCACAGCGCGCCCACGTCACCATTATTCCGATCTGGATGGCCTGGTTTACTTCCTCCACCTTCATTCTGGTCAGCGTTATCTGCATTGAAATGCGTCGATGGAGCCCCACCGCCCGCGGCGTTCTGGCCCCTGCTTGGACAATTCTATCATCCTCCACACAATAACAGCTCGACCCAAATCACCGGTATCGACAGCCTCGTAACCCAATTCCGAGGTAAATGGCACACTGAAATACAGTAAGGGAATTAAATATTGACAATATAATACAAGTAGTGAGAATGTACAGACGATGAAAACTGTTCAAGCATCACTGTCGTCCTGCGTGCGTTGGATCCTGAGTTACAAGTTGAAGGCATCGGGCCTTTTTACACGCATACTGTGTGCGTGTAGGACCTGGCTACATTCGAGCAGCAATCTTCTGCCATTGTTGGTCCCAAGAGTGTGAGTTAGCGGCCACAGCTCTCCGCTGGCCGCGCGCAATCAGCTGGAATCAGGTTATCCTTGATTACCTCCCGCCACAGCCAAATCCCGCAAACGCCGCTACTAACCATCCAGACTCTCCTTCTTCTATAGCTTCAAGTGCTGCTACTACCCGTTGAGTGAACAACGACAGCAGCCGAAGTCCGATGCTTGTAGTCACTTCGTTTGCCTTGGGCGTTTCTATCGTCCGTCCTATCTCGTTGCCTCTCTACCTGCCTACCCACCTAGCAAGCAAGCGATCAGCCGCTGTAGGTTGCTGAGTAGGACAGTAGCACTAGTTGTGGTGGAAACCGTAGTCGTAGTAGATACATTCCATCGGAGTTCCTGTAAAAGCCTTCCTACCCACGCACTCACCTACTGGCTGCAGTGGTCGCGGAGTCCTCAGATTAGGACCACTACCTAGAAGGGTAAGAGTCGTGAGGAACACAAAGAGCAAATACGACATTCTTCAGAAGTAGTCATACGATATATGCACTAAGAAAACGTTATATGACATGGGGTAGACGAGAAAGCAATTGACACACGGAAAAGAATAAGAATCTGTTAAGATCGACCATTACGCGTTACAGAGCGGAGAACAGGGAGTCAGACAGATTTACTAAATTTAGATACAGATTATACTGGAATAAAATGCTTTGTTATGCTCTAGAACGTAAGCTCACATTACGTACAGCCAGTTTATTGCAATTTCGTATATATAGCTAATATATTGTAATAGCATGTACATGCATATTACTTTTAAAAAAACGTTTACAGAAGTTAAAAGAATCTTCTTTAATCGATAAACACAGTTGGAAATGACAGCCAAAAATACTCAGACGTTCCCGCGTAGGTCGAATTATCACGCAGTATTTTCTACAGCAAACCTCTAGGTATGGCCTAGTATTATACAGATGCCGTCTGACGGCAAGGGATGTGGAGTAGGGTTCACAATCAATAAGTCATTCTAAGTAAAAAGTACTTATAAATACTACAGTACACCAACTTGATTAAGTGCAGTTATTGACTGCATTATAGAAAGTTAGCATTTTATTAAATGAAGAATTATATCTGCGTCACAGGACGTTTGTGTTGAGGAGATTCACAACTAGCAACCAGTGTGCTCCCATAGGAGTGCTAGCACCTGTTAACAGTTAGCGCCTCGCGGCAGAATGAGCTCCGCTGTGCTTTGACCATCATCACCCATAAGGGAGTAGGCGTGCTTCTTGCTAGTGCCCCTCCTCCCTTTAGAGCTCGGTTAAAGCAGCAGGAAGGCTGGAGGATTGCCGCTGGACACTCTCGCGAGTCGCCAAACGAAGACCCCGACGGTCTGGTAGTGTATCTCTCGCACCAACGCGAGCGCGTAGCTTAGACGACTTGGTCGATTGATGTTCATGCTGCTGATGCTACTGAAAAACGAGGGATTGAGGAACAAACTCGATTGCTTTATTTCAATTCCCTTGAGGGTTAGGATGATACTTCCTTCCACTTTCCTTCCCCTGTTTCACCCCCTACACTTTCCCAGTCTCCGCCGCTTTCTTCTCGGTTCCCCTGCTTCTCCCGATCTTCTTCCTTTTCGGCCTATCTTATTCTTTTTTCGCAGCCTCGCTGGCGAAGTTTGTCTTCCCTGTGCAAGTTGTTGGCACGGCCCACCGTTCAACATATACCAGTGCTACAGCTATTGCTACTGGTGTCCTTTGCTCTATTATACTGACCTGCGTTGGCCTCCCTCACTCTCGCCGTGAACCCCCACCCACGACAAACGCGTTTGGCCGCTGACGGGAGGAGCGAGAGGCCGCTGCGTTCTTCTCCGTCTTCTGCGTGCGAGCACTAGCGGCAGTGACACTGGCTTGTCGCAGGTAGACGGCCGCGGATACGCGCACCAAACCATAGAAAGTGAGGGAGGCACATGGATACTAGCACAATAACGATGACGACAACGAGGCCTATTGCCGCTTTTGCTACGGCTGGTACAGTTTGGCGTGTATGTCTCAACTGAGGACTCGTTGGAGCACAAGCAGCTGTGCCGCTGCTTTCAAAAAGGTGGCTGCCCAAGTTACTGGCAACCAGATCGAAAGACGAGGCGAGGGAAGGTAATTCTATTTGGTAAAAGCTCGAGCCTGCTTGTGCGGGGTCGGAGGCGGCTGACGACAGTCAGACGGACCGGCAAGAATATGAGGATAGGAAGAGACGAGGATAAAATAGCCGATGAAAAAAAGAAGTAATGGAAGCAACGAAAGCAAGCGAATGGATGCCCGCCCGCCCGACCGACCGATTCAGAGGTGGGTAGATCAGTGAGCCCTCGTTCTTTCATCTGCCTGCTATTTTCTTGGTCCCTATCTGGCCGTTTATCGGCTCGTTGCCGCCGCAGCCCTTACAATGAAGGTTTCAGCTTGTTCCTGCGACAGGACACAGACCTGGTTATTGGTTCACCCATCTAGTCCTGTTTGTTTCGCATTCTCTGCCCGTTTTAGTCGACTTGCAGATTGTTTGTTTCTGGATTGCCATACAAAGGCAGATTGAGGGATATTTGCCACTTGAACTCGGTGACAATAGTAAGCAGGAAACGAGTCTGCTAAGGGGATGGGCTGCGAATGAACAAACCCACATGATGCTAGCCAGCTTGATGGAGCGCGTATTGGCCCATCCTGCTGTGGGTTTACAAAAACGACTCTATCCGTCTTCTTGACAACATGCACTTGACTATGATTTCGGTTAGGCGGCTTCCTGCTAAGTTACCGTTTTTTAGGCCATCCAAGAGCACGCAGTCGTAGAAGTCTCAAACGGCACCTAAGGCCTTTGTAATTCTCGTAACGAGGTGATAGAAAACGTGCTCAACATAAGCTTAATGATGTTTACTGAAGTGTTATGCTTCATATTTATCATATTATGATCACTATAAGTTGAACCGGTCTTTTCGAGAAGCAAGGTGGGTCATATTCCGGAAACATGCGTAAGTACAAACGATACTAATAGTAGGTTAGTGGGAATCATAATACACCGTAAGCATACTCTATGGTCGAAAAACGAGTTAAAAAAAAATGCGAATTAATTGGTTTATAGGTTGCATTGGTTTAAAGGCAAACTGTAACACTTTATATACTCTACATTATATATATAAATACTTTATATTATTGTATATAAATTTACTCTGTGAAATGGCACGTCATATTATCAATCAGGTTCAACTGCACTTGCGCGGCCAATCATCTCAAATACGAGAGGTAAAGCTAAGTTTGTTGTACAGCAGACGTTACCACACCGGTGAACTAGACATACTTGGCGTAGTACAATAAACCTTTGTTCAAAACTCAATCTTTTATCGACGTGGTTGAAATATAAAGCAAATTAGAGCATTTTTCCGGTATTTCCAATATATCGCTGCGCTTGCGTTTCCAGATTCCGATTTGGCAGCCTGGGTTGATCGGTGGGGTCCACGGTGCCCGGTGAAGCGAACGTGAGGTCGACCGTTTTCTCCTTTTTCTTTTCTGCTTGTTCGTTCAGTTCACCTGCCGCCATGACTCTTCTTCCGAGTGTTCCTCATTCGGCTTTCGCTACGCAGTTGTGCTTGCGCTGCAGACGCAGGCCAAACTTGTGTCTGAGCGAGACGATAACGCTTCCGCTTATGTAGAATGTTTTTTTCCGTAAGCTCTGCAACTCTCCGGGGCAATTTAGCTCGAAAACAAGAGGCTGGCTTCCGCGATTCGCTACGTCGATACATCTTGCTTTTTCTCGCTCTCTGCTCCTCTTTTGAAGCGCGCTTCTTCGTTTTGCCTTTCACTACTCCATCTCTGCCGCGCTGGCTGTGTTCTTATCTGTCTGCCACCTTTTTTTTTCCTTTCTCCTGTATTCCGCCTATCGTTGCGTCTGATTGGTTGATGGTAGCCGGCCAACCAGCCAAACAGACAGACCGCCGGCGGAGGGGACCGCCGTCCGACTGCAAGCAAGACGGCCACAGAGCTGTAGTCCGCACGATGGCCTCTTTTCAACAAACTCAGCTTGTTCTCGTTTGTTATTCGTTTGAAGGCCCTAGCTGTAGCCTTTTCACAAAAGAAATGAGGACGAAGAACGAGGGAAACGGGGGCACGAATAGACTGCCCACCATCACTAGCAACTGCAAATTTACCAGTGAGGAGTAGCAATCGGAATAACAGTAGTAGAGGCCACAGAACCAGTCAAGGAAAGTAAGTATATAGAAAGGACAACGGCGGAAACAGAAGCGAAGACTAGGAGAAGGGCCAACCGTTGGGCAAACCGCCGGTGCAACGGAGCGGCGGTGGCAGGGTGGAGGATACAGGAAGCGAAATCAGCAGAAATCATCGAGTAGCAGTCTGTAGTCTCTTCGGAACTGATGTTTACGCTTCTCCCGTCCAGCATTCCTGCTACCGCAGCCATCACTATCGTCACTGCTTGTGGCTCGCTCTATCGGTCGTTCTGTTTTTTCAACAAGAGCAGCACCAGCAGATGATGTAACGTCAACAAGTGACCGGTCCCTAGTTTTTTCTTGCTTCGTAGTTGGCTAACGTGGAGGCGGCCGCAGCAGCGGTAGCGTCGGAAGCAATGCTGGCGGGCGCAGTAGCAGCGTTTTTCTATCACGGCGAACTCTCTGGGGATCGCGGATTTAGCCCAGAACTTTGCCAGCCCAGATAGTCTTGACGCAACCGGCAGTGTTTCGAAGATTCACAATCGGACTTCTCCACTGCTTCCGTGGTCATCAAGGTCTACATAGTGGACACAATTTTATCACATGTCATAGATTTTTACTAAGATCCTTCAATTATAATTAATTTGGTCTCGCATTAGCTTGCAGAACGTCACGTCAGCAATTCCCAGGATAAAGAAAACTCAAAGTTTCTCAAATAAGTACTTAGATAAAAAGCAAATAGAATTCTGGTCGATCCAAAGAATATAGTAGTATAGTGAAGATTGAACTTTAGTGGCAGAACTGGCCCAAATTAGGTTAATTATTTGCCTCAAGCTCATACATGATTTCAACTACTGATTGGTAAGCATGTGTTCCATTATCCCACGTACTCGTATCCGACCTTTTACTTTGTTTTTGTTCATTGCCGTTCTTCGCATTTTCCTGCTTAGTACATGCACACATACGCTCAGGTGATAGCACTCGATAGCGGACGCGGCAATAGAACATAGTTGACGCACTTTATCCTGCTGCCGTCCTACAGTTGCGGCCGCCGCCGCCGCCGCCGCCGCCTTCTAGACGTAGTGCTAAACAAGAGCGACAACGCTGTTGCTAGGATATAGGTACTCTGGCAGTCGGTTGTGCTTGTTCCCCATGACCTCGGGCTGTTGACACTGCTACCGCAGCCGGCAGCGTAGTTCGTTACAGGAAGTTCGGCACTGACTGCCAGCAGCAGCAGCAGCAGACTGCCTCGTGCAAGAGCGTTTTCAGCCTTGCTGTGCAGTCGGACAGCTATCCGCCCAATACACAGCTGTATCCTGTATGATCTGGCTGGTACCACCCTCCTCATCCTCCGTATCCCCCAGCTCAGCGAAACGCATACGAACCCTCACGAACAGCTCTTTCGAACAACTTGCTGTTGTGGCCGCTGCTCCCGGAGCCGCCGGTGCCGCCACCATTGCCGCTGTATGACTGACAGCCTGCTGTCGTTTGCCATCCCGCTCTACAGCTCCATCATTTCACTTGCTCCCGGTAGCGGCTGTAATGGCGGTATTGCCTTGCCTTCGGTGGTGGCCCGAGGCGGTTCGGTGATTAAAATCATGAATGAACTTTGCTACTTTGCTTTCAGCACTAGCGTACGCTTTCTCTGTACTGGATACAATCAGCCCTTTCGCCACGACCGGGTGATGGAAGGAACCGGCAATGGCTTGCCCTGCGCCGCTTACTGCCACTAGTTGGAGTAAGGAGCGGCAGACTCCAACTGCACTCAGACAGGATACACGCCTTCTTTTCCACCTCTTCTTCGTCATTCTTGTTCTCGCATTAAGGCTAGCTTACCCAAGCCAGTCTGGCAAATATTTGCGCAAAATATTTCTCCTTTTTGACCCTAGTTCTACTTTTGCTCCCAGGCGGCGTTGCGTCTTATGCTCATGGGCCTTTATTTCGACCGCTATCGGACCAAAGAAGCCTAATCATGATGTCTCGTGCGCTGCCTCGCTTATTCGTCCCCCTTTCATCATCATTGGCTGATTGTTATTAACTCTCTTTATTCGTTGATAGTAGCGTTTGTTGATCATTTGGTCCGTGTCCTTTAGCTCGCAGCAGTTAGGGTAACAGGATTGGCTTGATTCGGCACGAGGAAGGGTAAGGAACCGATGTTGCCGGCCAACGAAGCCCAATATCTGGATACTGATACAACACAACATCTAGCCGTCGAAACAATAGCATCGAGGTGTTCGCCATCAACGTATAGTGCCTACCTATTTGCGCGGATTAAACAGACGAACGTCACAAGCAGAGCTTTAAAGAGGAACTGGCATACATTGTTTCTCAAGGTCATACTTACGACCAAATGGTCAAATTGTATTGATCATACTGAAAGCATTGTCTGTTTTACAGTTCAGGTCAGCAGTAAAGGACTACAGAACAACAGAATTTTAGCAGACTGAACCTCGATGGGAATAGGAATCGGGAACATTGCAGCTGCGGGTCACTTACAGGGCGTACCGGTTCCTCTTATTAGTTCATACGAAATACGAAAGAAGTCGCACGGTTGTCGAACTGGCAATCGTTGGGGATTCCCCATGGAATTCCTGACCATAAATAGAGATAGGCGTCTTTCGTAAGGCGTTCTGCTGGCATCGCGAGTATGCCAAGACTCCACTACCAAATATCTGGACAGCTCACCGAAGGAAGTTGAACTCGTGGGTCCGCCGAGTAGGTAAGAGGCATTTTGATCTGTGTTTATCACCCGATCCGCTCGTGATATCGGCTCGAAGTTAATCGGCTGGTAGGAACGGGAAAAATTGGCGAGTCTGAGGAAGGGGAAACGAACGCAGACACCAGAGCTGCGCAGGTCGAAAGCTCCCCGTGCAGCTCGGAGAACTAGGATCAAGGGCTCTCAGTCACTAGCCTTCACAGTAGAATAACCGTAGCGGCAATCCGTTGTCTCTGGTACAGACGGACTAGTCAAGCTGCTATTCATTCAATTCGGCTGAAACAACGGAGAAGGCAAAGGACCATCAGAATATCTCATCGATCGGCCGGCCGTTTCCCTTTGCCCACCGTAAACTGAAAGGCGAACTAAAAGTAACTGCATTGCGGAGTGCTATCGATGGGCGTACAAGGCATAGCTTTACTGTTCAATGGAACCAGTTGACTGGTCGATATGTCACGAGATTGGCACGATAAAATCAAATTCAATGCAACTAGGTCCTCCTTACAATCCGCTCGAACAGCCCAGCCTATTAGACGATCCCACGTGTGCCTACTATCACGGTACATGCATCGCAAAGAATAATACTAGCAACTACTCCCCCCCCCCCCTCAAACTCTCCCGAATATTCAACCACTTGCCCCCTTCCCTCCCTTATGCTATTTCGTCCCAACCTTCACACAATATACATATTTTATATATAGATTGGCTTTGTGTATGATGCACGCTATCTTGTCTTTTGATTATTTGATTTTGGAGGGCGTACAATAAGGTTGTACGCGTCTCTGTTTTCACACACAGGCACAGGTGTGCAGGGTGTTTCCATACAGCAGTCGGGAAAAAAAAATACAAAAATAATAACGCTAATGAGGGACTATGAATATTAAGGAGACGGCATAATTTAGGGATCTTACTATTTGAAATGTTTGTAAATTCGTTAACAGGGTAGAACAGTCATCCTTGTGTAGCATCTGGACAGGAAGAAAATCATTTTTAGACCTCCCAAAGTTATAGTAAACATTTTGACAATCGTGGGTCTTGAAACTGTAGCAGGAAAATCCTCATTATCACCATCATCATCATTCTGGTCATTTCTGATTTTTCTATGTTATATCATGGTCAAGTTTTACCATTTATTAGAAAAAGATTAGTTATCGCCGGAAACTATCCAGCGGTGGCGTAATAGCTTTTAGCTTTAGCGGACCAGCTTTGACACCCCACGTAGCCGAAAATAAAAAATTTGTGGGTGGCTCGCTTATGCTCAGGCAACTAGTTACTTTGAAGTTGACTACGGAAATGTTAAACAAGTTGTCCATTCTTTGGTTTTATTAAAAATCAGTTTTTCCTATAACTGATTTTGTCTTGAACTATCTTATGAATGCCAAAATCCATTGGGATTTAGTTAACATATTGACGTTTCAATCATTTTTTTTTTTAATTTTGTGACCTTCATTAGCTCAGCAAGTACAGATTCTAAAAATTCATTTTTGTTAGATTTAATCAATAAATTGATTTAAACCATCAAAGTATAACGTGCTAGCGTGGACTATTTTATCTCTTCCATGATCTCTTTCAGACGACTCGACAAACATCTCAACTTTACATGATGATGACTGTAGTCCAGGGCCACCTGAGTTACTCCCTAGTCCCGTGGTGCCTGATACCTCAGAAGGGTGCGATCCTGTTGACGGAAGAGATTCTCACAGTTTGCCGGATACTCTACTAGGCAATATAAACTGCGAATCTATCAATCTGAAGCCTTTAAACCTATCCATGTCACCTAGTGAACTCAAGAATATTGTCCGACCATGGTTACATGATAACGTTGATGACCCGATAAATACGAATTCAACAAACAGTAACAACAATAACAACAAGCACATCTCTCCCTTGACGGAGTCTATTACGCCAAACGACAGCGCACCGATGCTACAACACCTTAATCATAACAGGAACAGCAGCGTCATTAATAAGAACAACAACGACAATGCAAACCATAACACAAACGGCGTTATTAGCGGCGTTAGTAATGTCAGTCCGCTTCTGGCGTTCGACTACGGCGAGATGCTGCGACGTGGCGGTGGCTTTCGGCCCACAACACTGCCAACGTTAACGACGACGACGACGACACTGTCCAGCTTGTCGAGCAGCCTTCCGAGTTCTGCTCTGCTCCTCGAGGAGCTTGGCCTGGCCCATCACAACCAGCTGCAGCAGCAACAGCATGCGACTCCGTCCGACCTCTATTCTTACTGCGTCAAGTGCGACAAAATGTTTAGCTCACCGCAAGGCCTTGAGCTGCATGCACGAAGAGCGCACCTAGGCTTGAATATTGGATCTTCAACCAGGACTGTCGTAAGACCCGGTTCGGAAGGCCGGCCTTTTGCTTGCGACCTCTGCGACAAAACCTTCAACCACGAGCTGGGTCTAGCCCAACACCGCGCCGTCCACTCGGCCGAACGATCATTCGAATGCAAGCAATGTGGCAAGTGTTTTAAGCGTTCGTCAACGCTATCAACCCATCTGCTTATTCACTCCGACACGCGGCCCTATCCCTGCGAGTATTGCGGCAAGAGGTTTCACCAGAAGTCAGACATGAAGAAACACACTTATATTCATACCGGTAAGTGAAGCCACATTTTTGCCCCCGTCCCTTTCACTTTTTTCTGCTTTCTCAGCTTTATAAAGCGTTCAAACATAAGCGTCATTATGCATTATAGAAAGTGCCTGAAACAGGTAAAGTGTTACTTACGGTAATTTCGATTACTCGTGCGCTCCTGTGAACGCTTCTTCTGTCGGATACTTTCTAATCGTTATCATTACAAATCTCTCGTACATCCTTACTAGTTCGACCTGTTCCATTTCAATGAGTGCAAGTATTCAGATCTACAACTTGACCCATCATTAGCCTGCTGTAGAAGAAAGAGTATCTTTTACTGACAATATGCCTGACGATGAATCGGTCCTGCACTTTATCGTTCAACGCTCTGATGGTCGTCGCGCAGAACATGGCGAATTACATATAGCGATTCTCCTACCTACACTTCTAGCCATCCCCTCCTTTGGCTATCCACAATTGCGCTGGCCTGCTCGCTCGTTAATCCAAGGGCTGAGCGCACCGAGCGCTCGTTCAACTATGTCGCTGCCGCCGCTGGGGTTCTTTTCTCTCCAACTGTTCATCAGTTCTTCGGCTAACGCGTTCACTCGCGAAGCTGAAATGAGTGCCGCATCAGCGGAAGCAGTACTATTATCTGCGCGTGTATTGTTGCGTTAGCTGTTCGGTTGAACCAGATCGCAGGCGGGCCTCGAGACATTGTCTGAAATCTTGTCCCTAACACGATTATGAGATGGATGAGTCTCGGGGGCTTGCAAGGCTGCTGCAACTGACGCTTTACAGTCGGAGACACTGGGGCCGCTCGGCTACAAAGAGTCGCCTAAGTCGACGCCGCCGCCGCCGCCGCCGCCGCTGCTGCTGCCGGCTAGACAACGGAGCGCTGCGCTGCATTCTACTTGAAGTTGTAGTCTTAATTGCCGAATTAACTTTATTACAAAGTGCAGCATCAACTAGCGCGTGCAAAAGGAAGAGCGTGGGACAGAACGAAAGGACATGAACGACACGGAGAAGCAATGTGAGGTTCGTTGGCTGTAAGGACCATAGCTTCAGACTGCCGCCGCCGCCGCCGCCGAAACTGTTGCTACTTGGCTTCAAGCGGATGCACAGCCACAGGCACTCGACAGGCCGAGCCGAGTGAGATAGTGAGATGGGCCTGCTTCCCTTCTCGCTGCCGAAGCGAACAAGGAGTGAGTGAGTGAGTACACTCCGACTAAATGCACCTGACAAGTACAAGCGTCTCAGGAAAGCGCGGCGGAAGCAAAGAATATCTCCGCGGCCTCGTCTCAGGACCCACCTGACGAGCTTCGCGCCAGTCAGCCAGTGGGAACAGCAGCAACGCGTGCTCCATACGATGATCAGCCAGCACCGCTGTATGGAACGATAGGAACCTGGGACTTTTGGGCTAGGGGTAAACTAAAGTAACTGAAAGCTAGACCCAGAGACATAAAGGCAGGCTAGGAGAAACAGGTGGGTAGGTAGTTGGGGGCTCGGGGTCGCAGAGGCTATTAGCAATGTTGTGTCATGTCAACCTGCAGCAGCGCTGCACCTTACCTCTGTCCCTCGTCGCCTATGATTATACATCTCGCCTCGCTCAACTTTCCTGTCTTTCTCTTGAGGTACCCACTTTCTTTTCTTGGAGCATGGAAAAAATATTTTCCATTTTCTCTGACCTCATGCGTTGTTGCCTATGCATTTTTAGCGAGGTGTGTACCCATATAGCCGCAGTTAAACATCTTTCCCTTTGACATATATCTTTGTTTGGGTCCTATCTTATCACAATTATGTGAACCCTTGTCTTTACGTTCTATGGCCTGGTCAGGAGCAAAAAGAGAATCGGTTAAATTAGCACTGGCTACCGGCGACCAGAACAACAGCTGGTACAGGACAAATCTCCCGAAACATCGTACAAAACCTATGCACAGAAACGTGACGCAATCAAAGATAAACTTCTGACACTAGTCGTGTTTTTTTCATTTATTATAATATTCAGCTTTATATTTGTGATGGCAGAACGAGTAAGTCGTACATATGGGACGGTTTTGTTATCACAACAAACAGCTGGTGATTCCGTTCGGTTCGAAATTAGAGGCGCGTTCCAACTCTGAAAAACAACGTTTTGTATGAAAAGTATGATGTTATTCAAGGTAAGTTGTAGCGATAATATAACTGTAACACAAAAGTAATCACATCACAAATTAATGTGGTTTAGTATGGAGTTATATCACAGTGGTAAGCGTGTGTCTTCTAACGATCACCGCCTCTCCCATTTGTTGTCGATAAAGGCCGAAGTGGACAGCGGCTCAGGAAGTAGGAACAGCCTAAATTGCCCCTGAGTGCCTCGTTCGCACTTGATGCCCCGCAGGTTATCCACCTACCACAACAAATGCGCATTCTCGAACTAATATGTCTACCTAGCAGGCGATTAGATCAACACCCAGGATGTCATTTCGAAAGAAGCCCATTAACTTCGCTGTTGCAGTTATTTTTTAATTAAGCAAATGCTGTAAAATCAGATCATTCCGTAATAGTATATAATCTCTGCTACGAACCTTTTGATATAATTTTTGAATGCCAAATTCAAATTTCACTTGAAATAAAAGCACACATAATTATAGTAACGACCAGATCCTCATGAGACTTGTAATCAAAACACTTACTTTGCATATAGTAGAAACATTTGCTTTTCTTTCTAAGTTAAACCTAATTACGCCTCAGGAGCCACATTTCGCACCTTAAGACCACTAGTAAGATTCCGGCAGTCTATTAGCAAGAAGTTGTCCGCATCTTTTGGAATACTCGGCTTTTCCGTGCAGGTAAATAGGATACTAATTAATATATGAAAACCTAAAGTGAATAGTTTCACTATGATATTTCGCTGCATTTTTCGCCCCACAGGAGGCAACTGTCTCTTAATGGCAATTTCACTTTTTTCAGTACCGTGGCCACGGTGTATAGCCGGATAGCACGCCACTCTCCAGCTCCCTCTGGCATCAATCGGATAAATGAGCTTCCAGGCTCGCTGGTGCTCGACTATCAAAATATAGCGGCCCTAGGGTGCACTGGAAACAATTGTTGAATGGTGTATCCTGCATGAACCAAAACAAAGTATACCTACGTACAGGCTCCGCCACGATATTCTTGCAGGAATCGCAAATTTCCGCTCACGACGTCAAACTGAGGTGACTTTTTTGCCCCAGGCTTCCATCAGTCTTGAAAGTTCAAGCGGTTTAAGCCGCTCTTATGTGTGACGTGTCCCTGGCTGCGCATCCTAAAGGATCGAACCTCTTGACGACAGAATCAATTCTAAATATATATGTTGCATTCGTCGTATTTGCTTAAGAACCCCGAACGACCAAAAACAAAGCAAGCATTTTCAAATCGATTAGTGAGGTTCCTTTCATTGTAGATTTGTAAGCATATACGTCCCTTTGGAAACGGAAAAACTTGTACTACGGGCAGTGCTGATCGCGAGTTTGCTAGGAATTCTCCGATGTCGCTATCGTCAGCATTATCGACAGCGTAACCGACTTCACAAATTTGGGGCCATCAATTCTGAGTCGATATATGGATTTGCCTGTGTCTTTTCGTATTCTGTCTAATTTTTGTGCTTCGAAAGTTCGATGGTTTTTGGGGGAGGAAATGTGAGGGATGCTCGTAATTGGTCGGCCGTTATTTCCAACGCCCGCTTAGACCCAAGTCGAGATCTCAAGTAACAACGAGATCTCACGAAGCTCGCTTGTGGATTTCGACAGTTCATCTGTCTTCTGTAGCAACCGCTACTGTTGCTACTGCTGCCCGTAGTAGCCCCTACCTGTCGCTCAGTGCGACACCTTAATTTAACATCGGCGGCCCACATATCCACAAATACGCTAAGACAGAATAGGTTCTAGCCTCACGTAGGCGAAAGGCGCATCGCTACCTACACTTCGACTTGACACAACGCCAACAATAGCTAGGACTCAGTGTATAGCAATGCCGCTCTGGTGCGTACATTTCCAACACTTCGGATAGCTACAACATAGCGTCTACCTATCTGGATAAATCATACACCATTATTACTTCGCTGTCCAGCATTGCTACAGATATACATAGAGCTGTTTCAAAGAAGCCGTATTCAGAACTTATCTGCATCGCCAGCAGATATTTGTAGGTGGGACCACAGAACTCCCTCATGGACATCAGCTCTCTCGAGTCTCGTTGAAACCCAGCGACAGCAGCCGACCCAAAATGGAATTCTCATGACAAATCATCTTGTCTGGCCGACTCATGACATTACGCAGCAACATTCAGTAAATGATGTCTACTGATTTGAAATTGACCCAATGCTGTCTGCTTAAATAACGTGCAGTATAAACACGAACCTGTTATAATAACTGCTACGTGTATGACTCTCGTTTTCAGCCTAGGGACACAAATCCACTTAGTACTAGTTGGCATAAAAAATACGATAACGTTACTAATAAGGGTCATTTGTTGCAAATCTATGAGATTCATTTGTGACACACAGATAACGCGCTTCGTGAGCTGTTCTGTCATGCCTCTTCGATGTATTAAGGAGGCGATGTCCAAATGCGGCATCACGACCTGCTAGCTTAGGACCTCATCGAAGGTAAAACATCTGAATGAGCGAGTGGAATTGTTCTCACCGTTATGGCAACCAGCTAATCGCTTCAACATATGTCGATAAATTTTCGAATCAATTTTTGATACATCTGAAAAATTGATTCCTGAAATAGCTATTCAGACTTCCATGTAACAGGAACCTGCATTGTGCACTAAATAGAATGGCGTGTGATGATAGCCATTGACATGCTATTCGAACTAAATGTACCTTACAACGGGCCAATATATATTGAAATAATACACCGGCAGAAAGTCCTAAAGCTATCAGCGGTTATGGCCCCAAACGGCGCAGGCCCACAGGTCGTTTATACGGGTTCGTATACGGAACAGCTCGAATACGACTGGTTCGATTTTTACAACCTACCCAGGCCCCTTATGAAATTTCC